GGATTTTTTTCTTTCTTAGTGGTAGATAAAATAATGATGTATCTTATAATGACCATCTTAAATATAATATAATTTGGTATTATTCACTTACTCAACTAAATATTTATTGATAACAATATACAGGTGCCATTAATTAAGTCCCTACTATAAGCAGCTACTATACAAGGCCACATGTATATTTAAAACATACTGTCTCATTTACGTACAGAACTCCAATTATGTGCCAGAGAACTCCAGAACATTCCATGGGGGGAAAAATCAAGAGTAATCAATTCCAAAGACTGTGAATAAGTTTTTAAATGTTGAACATTTGATAAACTTACTTTGTTGTCTTTCTTTCCAGCAATTATTTCGAATATTAGTCACATAATCTTCTTCTACACTCTTTTCTACCTTCTGTAATAACATTCCTTTATATTCATTTTTAAAGTCCTTGTTGACATAATAAACAACACCCAAATTTTCTGTCTGCATTTTAATGATTTGCCCTGATCCACTGTAAAAGAGATGCACAATCATTATTTTTTAAATTAAAATCAGACATTCCAACATGCTACTATAAACCAAGCTAACAAAAACAATTAAAAATCACTAAAAAGTTACTACTAGTAAATAGGTTGAGCATCATCTTCATCCAAATATCTGAAATCCAAAAGCTTCAAAATCTGAAACTTTCTGAATGTAGACATGCTGCCACAAGTAGAAAATTTCAGAGCTGATCTTACATGATGCATCAGTCAAAATGCAATCAAGTGTACTGTAACCTTTTAATCCAAACACGGCATGGTAGGTAAAGACTGAAAGCCTGCCTTGGTTTGCTGTTGCTGTTTAATAGCTGACAGAGGAATTCTGTTCATGCTACTATGCCGTTTAGATATTGTGGACACATTGTTTTTTCATTGTAATAATGGTATGTCATATTTTCTTTTCTTTTTTTTTTTTTTTTGCAGTTTTTGGCCAGGGCTGGGTTTGAACCTACCATCTCCAGCATATGGGGCTGGCGCCCTACTCCTTTTGAGCCACAGGCACCATACTTACTTACTTAAAAGTTTACTTTTAAGTACTTACATGTAAATAGTGCAAGAAAAACAATTGTTTATTCGTGTAACTTTAAAGTCAGGAATGACAGTGATGCCACACAACCACAGATTTTCCAAATGGGTGGCTAAGATAGTGACACCTTTGCTTTCTGATGGTTTGATGTATACAAACTTCATTTCAAGCACAGAATTACTGAAGATATTGTATAACATTACCTTCAGATTGAGTGTATAAGATATATATGAAACATAAATATATTTTGTGTTTTAGATTTGGGTATCATCATCAAGGTATTTCATACCGTATATATAAATATTCCGGAAAAATCTGAAATCCAAAACACTTCTGCTATCAAGCATTTTGGATAAGCGATATACAACCTGTATTTATTTATATTATCTTAAATTGCCTAAAACCATGATTTCATGTCATAAAAAAGTAACCATACTTCTAATATATTATGTTCTTATAAAGTTCTCTCAATTTTTTGCTAATATTTTTGCTAGTAAGTCTTATTTGAAAGAATAAGTAATTCTTATTTTTAGACCAATCTGTTCTTAATACTGTAAAATCACTGCCAATATCATTTTACTAAGTTTCCTTCATATTCCTTGTATTATACCAAAGTTGCCTAGAATGGATGCTCTGTGACATTTCCTTTACCTTTTGAACTCATATAAGTATATGGTAGAAAGATGCTTCATTTAAAAAAGTAATATTTGCTTCCATTCAATCAATATTTTATAAACAGAAAAGTAATCTTCCCCTTAATAACACAAATCTATGTAAGATCAATCACTACTTCTGTAAGTATTTTTGTCTTTTAAATTATTTTTTGTCTTTAATACCAACATATTACCAATCACGTTAAATTGCTATCAAGTTCAAATATAGCACTTCTGTTCTTAGTCACAGTGAACAGAAATGTAAACTAGCAGTATAATATAATATATAAATGTATCACATAAAGTAATTATTTTAAAAATTAGAAACTTTACAATCTGATATAGATATAGTAATAGTTTTGGCATTTAAAAATAGAAAAGAGCACAAGCAAGCCCTTTAAAGAAAGAAAGCTAGGTAAGAAACAGCAGTAATTCATTTTTATAAAGATTCACTTAGCTACTTACGATCTGGGATATAAGGAATAAGGAGGATTAGAGACCATCAGTTGGCTTAATAATGACACGAGGATCAATACAATAATGGGCATCAGCTGGATAAACACAGAAAAACCTCCCTATAAAAAATCATCAAAGAATAACAGATTGTAATATAACTAGTTGTCAATAATCCAACAGTTGTCATACATTTTTAGAGGCAGAAAGGATATTTAAGATCATCTAGTTCAGTGCTTTCAAATCAGCCTAATCATACCAGTCTCCTACAGTGAATCTTAAAAATATAACTTGCCAGGCACATCACCAGGAGATTCTGATTTGAAAAATACTGACACAACTTGGTCTTGTTTTACAGACAAGGAAGTCCTCATCTCTCACTCTCTCTTCACACACAACATAGAGACTCTACCAATATGTTGCAGGTTGCAAAACTATTTTTACCTTGAATTTGAGGTAGAAGATGGAAGCTGGTGAGTGGCAGAGCTGGGGCCCAGGCCTTTAAATTTATAGTCTAGTATCTTTTCATTTACCTTTCCACTTCATGTAATTTAACTGCTATAGGCAATTGGGTATAATTGCATTAGAAAAAGGAAAGTTACCTCCACTTTAAGTTTTTCAGTATTAATTCTAAATTCTTAGGACCAACAATAACAAATTACCTTCAAAACAGTGCAGGTGTGCCTTCCTTGGAATCACAGTGTAACATATCTGAAGAGGTTATACTGACCAACTATCTCCCACTCTGACGTCTACTCCTGTTCTGACAATATCCCTAAAGGATTTTCTAGTCTATATTGAACACCCTTGTAAGAGAAAACTCATTATTTCTTAAAACAACTTGTCCTATTTTTACACAACTTTAATTGCTTTTCCTGAGCTGAAATTTGCCACTTTGTGATTTGAAATAATATCATAAACATACATCTCCTCTTTCTTCCTCTCTTTCATGGCCACTATGTTGATGTTGATGTTGATGGCTGTAACCAGCCCGTCCATTTGAAAATGAATGTACACTACCTACAAAATTAAAAGAAAGGTTAAATTAGGATGAGCAATTATCAGAAAAATTGTATTTTCCTTTACATTCTTCTTTACTTTGTTAAAAATTACTAAAGTAATGCATGTGTATTTTGAGAAGTATATGTTTATTGCCCACCTCACTTGTGAGTGAATGGTGGACAGAAACAAAAATGATTCATCCCAGACTCTGCCTCTTTTGAAATAAGGCAGAAGTTCCTTCTTTATGAAAACTCAGTAAATATGAATTTCTCTACATACACGGAGGATTTTTGTTGTGATTGGCTGTTTTTACAAACCTTGCTTCAGTGTTCTGAAACTTTGTTTTCTGGATTTATCAATGAATCACAAATATCTCTAGAAATCAAAACAGAGCACTCATTTTTTTTTTACATAGCTATACAATTCTATGGTATATGTAGACCACAATTTATTCAAACATTCTCTTGCTGATGGACATTTATGTTATTTCCAAACAAGGTGACCCATCAGAAATGGTTACCACTGACAAAGTAAACTATGTTATAACAGCAAAATAACTGCAAATTAACTGTCAGAAGAAAATTCACTATTCCTTGAAAGATTACTGATTGTTCCTTATGAATCAAATTTTTGGCTGATATTCAGCCAAAATTACTAGTTTTAATGATTTTTCTATTATGTTAAAACACAGATTATATTTTCAGTCATTACTTTGTATTTATATATCCTCTTCAAAGATGTTTTACAAAACGTCCTATCAATAACCACTACCTCTCTCAATAATATTCAAAGAGGGGTACCAGTTCATCTTATATTGTTATATTCATAAAAATGTTCCTAATTTGGAGTGGGATGTTTGATTCAGCACCTGAAGTAAATGCTCTCAATAGACAGTAAGTCCCCCCTTAATGTCACTGATAGGTTCTTGGAAACTGCAACTTTAAATGAAACAATGTACTACATGCCAGAGGAACTTAACTCTTATTTATAAAAAATTAGCTTATGGCAAGATGGGTTTGTTATACAGCATGTTAGATTTATTAAAGTTGCAGTTTCCAAGGACTTATTAATGATATTAATAACTTACTATAAATATAAGTAGAGTTCAATATTACTTATGTTGATACTATAAAACCTATTCATTTACTAGCGTGACTAGAATATTTCACTTTGATAGTCTAGTTCAAGTAATTATTTCTATCTTAATGGAATTTAAAAAACCCCAAACACTTGGGGTATAGCTTATGAATCAGACCTTTAACTATTTAAATGGAAATATGGATGAAGACCTACCTCCACAAACATCCAAATTAGCAATCTATGTTATTAATAAAATATTTACAAAGATCTCCAGAGAACCAATGTCCAATCGTCATTCAAGATATAGGATACCTTTCACTATTGTAATTGCACTTAATAAGACATTGCCACTAAATTTCCTGCTTACTTTTCTTTTCTTTAGCTCTATATAAAATATCAAATATTTATACACTTCATTTTTTTAAATTAAAATTTATTCTAGGAAAAAAGTAGGCTATAGTGAAAGTAATAACCCTAATGTTGTTCTTCTACTTTCATGAAAAACCATCATAGGATCGTAACATCATAAAAAAAGGAGACAAGAAGGTAGATAAATCTCTAAATAGTGTAACTAGAGGTAAGGCTCTTTAAGTTTCTTAAAATGTAAGATACATAATTCGCATTAAAGTACCTGAAGGAAATCCACCACCAAAAAATATATTAAACAAGTCTTCTGGAGTTATATCAGCTTCACAACCTCTATGGAAATTAAATCTCCCATTGTTTTGGTGATTACAAGCTTGTTCTTCATTGCCTGTGATGTCATATTGTTTTCGTTTTTCTGGATTGCTTAAAACAGCATAAGCATTTCCAATCTCTGAATGGAATGAGTAAAAGTTGTTAAAGTTTTTATATTATAGATTAACCCATATAAAAACTGTCACATTAAAAAAAACCTACTTAAAACTAATCAAGGAAACTTGTAAAAAAGTACAATTTCTTTTAAAGATATTATACATTGCTTATAATTATACAAATTACTTATGTCTCAAGATAACATTTTTATATAAGACAGGCAAGTCCCGATACTGCCTTAGACAAAAAGGAATGTCTATCTTTCCTTTCTTAATATTATGTGTGCTCCATTCCCTAAAATCCTGCTTCTTCCTTTTTGAGTACTATAATCTAGTCATTCATCAAGGTTGTTCAAACCAATCATAATAGCAGAAGCTACCATGTATTGAGTACTCCAGGCTCTGTATCCAACACCTTACTTATTACATTATTTGTAATTACTCTCATGTACAGAGGAAGACTCCCAGGCTCAAAAAGGTTAAGTAACTTGTTCAAAGTCAAATTTTTCTTAGCACAATGGGTATACTCTCACTTCTCACATACACCATTTTTGTACAATAGTATTCAGTGTGAACTATTTTTTCATTCTATTCCTGAATAATATATTCCCTTTAAAACAGTAAACTCCATTAAAGTAGGGACTAAGTCTTTGTTTTCACTTCAATATCCTCATGTTCCAACTAAACTCTGAATTAGTTTTAAAGTAAGTAATCTAAAGTTTTCCTATCTCATTTTGCTACTTTCATAGCAATTTACAGAAGCTGTAGTGCTTTGAATCTAAAATCAGAAACTACCCTATTCTCATTCTGATACTGCTAATAATCACTTCATAAATTCATCTTTTCTTTTTTTTTTTTTGAGACAGTCTCACTGTCACTCTTGGTAGAGTGTCATGTCGTCATAGCTCACAGCAACCTCATACTCTTAGGCTCAAGCAATTCTCTTGCCTCAGCCTCCCCAGTATCTGGGAGTAAAGGCATCCACCATAATGCCTGGCTATTTTTAGAATGGGGTCTCATTCTAGCTCAGGATGGTCTTGAACCTGTGAACTAAGGCAATCTACCCGCCTCGGCTTCCCAGAGTGCTGGGATTACAGGGGTGTGCCACCACACCATCTTGTTTCTTAATCTAGATTATAAACATCTTGCAATATAGGATATTTTAAAAATATATTTTAGATCCTGTATGGTAGCTACCATAACAAGCAAACAGATGCATCTTAGCTGGTTGTTTAGGAATGATTACATACTAGACTGAAATATATACAGACATTCTGGAAAAAAAATTTAAATTGTTTATCTACTTATTTAATTGACAAGTAAAAATATATACAATTGTAAGGGTGTGTTTCTTTTCTTTGGAGACAATCTCACTTTGTCACCCAGGGTAGAATGCCATGGAATTATAGCTCACAGCAACCTCAAACTCCTGGACTCAAGCGATTCTCTTGTCTCAGCCTCCTGAGTAGCTGGAACTACAGATGCCTGCCACAACACCCAGTTATTTTTAGAGACAGGGTCTCACTCTTGCTCAGGCTGGTCTCAAACCTGTGAGCTCACGCAATCCATAGGTCTCGGCCACCCGGAGTGCTGGAATTATAGGCGGTGAGGGTGTGTTTCTATTTAAAGACACCTTCCTCCTTCAGTGGATCCAGTAACCTTTTCCGAATGTATATCCCATCTCGATGTCCCCCTGCCTTCTCTCAACATCCTCATATCTTTGAACATAGGGTGGAGATCCTCTGGCTGGGCTGCTCAGGAAGCAGCAGGGGTGCCCTGGCCTGAATCTCCTGTGGAAATTTTCTTCTAGGTGTTCTATTAATACTCCTGTATGAAAAATTTGATGAATGGCCCATCTATCTGAGGGGCTGCTTTCAAACTTTCTTCAGATTCTCAAAGAAATCTGTGACTCAGAATTATATCATTATTTATAATGCTATTTTAATGGGGAAGCATAGTCAAAAATCCAAACAATGTACTTATAAACAATACCAAGATATTAAATCATACCTAAAGAAAAGACATATCTATCCATCTCTGCTAAAAAAGCAATATGAGTTTTAGGACTGAACATCTACTACACAGTCAAAAGGTGACTTCATATAATTTCATAATGCTATTACTTTTAAAACTATTAATATATAGGCAACCCACTTTTATTTTTAAGGCCATTCCTTTAAAAAAATTTTCCAAACATTAAGATAATTTAGAAAATATTTGAATTACGATCAAAATATATAATTTATTATTTTTATTGTTGGGGAATCATTGAATGTACAATGAGCTAGGTTATATTGCTTGTGTTTGCTGGGTGAAGTCCCTCTGTTAATGGTGCCCTGCCCCCAAGAGTTGTGTCACACAGGGTGAGCCCCTTCCTTCCTTCCTATTTTCTCCTCCCCCCCCACCATGTACTAGCATCAATTGTCCTCATATCAGAGTTGAGTACATTGGATTCGTGCTTCTCCATTCTTGTGATGCTTTACTAAGAAGAACGTATTTCAACTCCATCTAAATTAATACAAAAGATGTAAAGTCACCATCCTTTTAGTGGCTGTATAGTATCCCATGGTGTACATATACCACAGTTTGTTAACCCATTCTTGGATTGGTGGGCATTTAGGTTGTTTCCACAGTTTGGCAACTGTTAATTGAGCTGTGATAAACAGTCTAGTGCAGATATCCTTATTGTAAAATGACATTTTTTTCTTCTGGGTAGATGCCCAGTAATGGGTTTGCAGGATCAAATGGGAGGTCTAGTTTGAGTTCTTTGAGAGTTCTTAATACTTCCTTCCAAAAGGGTTGTATTAGTTTGCAGTCCCACCAACAGTGTAAAAGTGTTCCCTTCTCTCCACAACCACACCAGCTACTGCAGTTTTGAGTCTCTGTGATGTGGGCCATTCTCACTGGGGTTAGGTGATATCTCAGTGGTTTTAATTTTTACATTTCTCTGATAATTAAGGATGATATGAACATTTTTTCACATGCTTGTTAGCCATTTGTCTGTCTTCTTTAGAGAAGGTTCTTTTCACCTCACTTGCCCATTGATATAAGGGATTGTCAGCTTTTTTTGTTATTGCTTTTGATTAATTTGAGCTCTCTGTAGATTCTAGTTATCAAGCTTTTGTCTGATTCATAATATACAATATCTTTTCCCATTCTGATGGTTGTCTATTTGCTTTGGTTGTTGTCTTCTTAGTGGTACAGAAGCTTTTCAGTTTAATTAAATCCCATTTGTTTATTTTTGTTGTTGTTCCACTTGCCATGGAAGTCTTCATAAAATCTTTCCCCAGGCTGATATCTTCAGGTGTCTTTCCCACACTTTTTTTGAAGATTTTTATTGATTCATACCTTAGATTTAGATCTTTTATCCATCTTGAATCAATTTTAGTGAGTGGAGAAAAGGTACAGGTCCAGTTTCAGTCTTTTACATGTAGTTTACCAGTTCTGCCAGCACTATTTATTGAATAAGGGTTCTTTTTTCTATTCATTTGTATTATACCCATAATCAAGGTTTTTTGGGCAATTCCTTACAATTTAAAAAATTATATCTAAAATTTATTTTGTACTCAAAAGCCTTGCAAAATAACATTTCTAGCTCACTGTCACTTATTTGATACCAAATAAAATACCAAAAGGTATCACCCACTTCATTTATTTTTCTTTAACGTTTTTATTTTAAGATAACTACAGATTCACATGCAGTTGTAAGAAATAATACAGAGAGTCTCTATACCTTTTACCTAATTTTCCACAATGGTAATTTGTGCAAAATTATAGTACATTATCAAGAACAGGATATCGATATTAAGAGTCAAGCCAAGGAACATTTCTATCACTACCCTCATGTTGCCCTTTTATAACCACATCCACTTTCTCCCAATCCCCACCTTAACCTCTGGCAACCACTAATTTATTCTCCATTTCTATAAAAATGTCATATCAGTGAAACAATACAGTATATAAATGTGACTATGTTATTTGTTATGTAAATGGAATAAAACCATTAAAAATTGAATTTTTTAATCAGCATAATTTTCTAGAGATTGATCCAGGTTGTTATATATATGCCAATAGTTCATGCCTTTTTATTACCGAGTAGTATTCCACGGCAAGAATATACTACTGTTTGTTTAATCATTCACCTGCTGAATAACATCTAGGTTGTTTCTAGTTTTTGGCTATGATAAATAATACTGCTATTTGCATTCATGTATATGTTTATGTATAAAGATAAAATTTCATTTCTCTGGGATAAATGCCCAGGATAAATGCACTGCTTGGTTGTATGGCAACTAGCTGTATACTTGCTAGTCTTTTGAGAAACTCCCAAATTCTTGTACAAAATTTCTGTGTTATTATACATCCCATCAAAAATGATCCATTCTCTGCATCCATGTCAACATCTGGTGCTGTCACTATTTTTTACCTTGGCCTTTCTGATGCATGTGTAGTGATACTGCATTTTGGTTTACTTTTCATTTCTCTAATAGCTAATAAATAATACTGAAAAAAAATTTTTTTTAATTGAGGCAGGGTCTCACTCTGTTGCCTGGGCCAGAGTGGAGAGGTATCATTGCAGCTCACTACAATGTTACAGGCTTGGGCTTAGCGATCCTCCTGTCTCAGCCTCCTGAGTAGCTGGGACTACAGGTGTGCACACTACCATGCCAGCTAATTTTTCTATTTTTTTATAGAGACAAGGTCTCGCTATGTTGCTCAGGCTTGTCTCAAACTCCTCGCTTCATATAATCCTCCCACCTCAGCCTTCCAAAGTGCTGATATTACAGACATGAGCCACAGTACCCAGTCTTATCTTTTCATATGCTTATTTGCCATAAATATATCATCTTTGGTGGAATGCCTTTCCATCTCTCTTGCCCATTTTCTTCTGGAATTGTCTACTGGGAGTTCTTTATATATTCTAGATACTAGCCTTTAGTCATATATGTGGTTGGCAGATATTTAAATATTTTCTCTTTTTCTGTTGCTTTTCATCCTCTCAATGAGGCAGAGCAAACTTTTAAATTCTGATCTCTGACTTTTCCTTTTATGAACTGTGCTTTTGGTGTTATTGTGCTTGGGCCCCTTGAGAACTTAAATTTAGTACTCTGGCATTTTTTCAATGACTGAAATAATGTAAAATCTGACTAGGCTCTTATTTGTTGCATATGTTGGCTGCTCACTTCCTGTACAGCACCCTTGTTCTCACATTATTGTTCTTATTAATAACTCCTGATATACTGTTTCTTTGTCAAGCAGGAGGAGGAGGAGGAGACAACTTCAGGGTCATAAGGAAAACATATGAGTTTGTTTTACAGAAGGAATGAATGCCCTTGAGAAAGTTATGACTATGTGTTAATGCCCCAAAGTGTGGTTACTTAAAGTATTATCTGGGACGTTCTGCATCACTAAGCACTAGAGTCACAAAGCTTGGCTTTAATTGTGCTTCAGGTACACAAACACAAATTTGCAGACTGACAACACCACGTCTTAAGAAACCATTCCCTAGCTCTAGATATTTAAGATTTGCTCCTGTAATTTTTTCCTAAGTGGAAAAGTGTTATGGTTTATATTTATATTCATGATCCATTTTGAGTTCATTTTTTGTATAAAGCTTTATACTTTTCATCAAGGTTAATTTTTTGGCTCATTTGATGTCAAGTTACTCAAAAATCACTGTTGAAAGGCTAAGTTTCCTCCACGGAACTATTTTTACATCTTTGTAAAAAATCAGTTGTGTATATTTGTATGGGTCTATTTCTCGGTTCTCTATACTGTTCTTTTGATGTATGTGTCTATCCCTTTGCCAATAACACAAAGTTCAGGTTTTTAGAGCTATTATACTAAGTCTTGAAAACAGGAACACTGACTATGACCACTCTATTCGTTTAATCAATTGTTTTTAGCTATTCAGAGTTTTTTTGCATCTCAATAAAATTCTTCTTTAGCCTATAAATATGGTAGATTACACTGTGAAAAAATTGGCAACCATGGAATAATCATCATGGGTCAGGGTGTAAAATTCTTTTTATATATTGCAAAAATCTGTAGGTTGTTAATGATATTGGGTTTATTCCATGAAGAGTGTTGGTCTATTGTTTGTTTGTTTTGGTAGTGTTTTTGATTGATTTGGGTAACAAGGTAAAATGTATTCATAAAATGAATCAGAAAAATGTTTCCTCCTCCTTTTCTGGAAGAAATTATGAAGAACTAGTTTTAATTCTTCCTTAAAAGTTTATTAGAATTCTCCAGTAAGAGTATCTGAGCTTGGGGTTTTCTTTTGTGGGGGTTTCATAATTATAAATTAAATATACTAAACAATTCTTAGTTTGTTTTGTGTTTCTACAAAAGAACACCTGATATCGGATAATTTATAAAGAAGAAAAGTTTATTTAGCTTATGGTTTCATAGGCTGAGAAGTTTAAGAGTATGGCCTTGGCTTCTAGCTTATGCTGTGTCACAACATCGTGGAGAATATTAAAGGGGAAACAGACATGCAAAGAGGAGAAAACCTAAGGGGTCTCCTGGCTTAATGACAACTCACTTTCTCAGGACTAACCCATTCCCAGGAGAACTAATCCAGTCTCCACAGAGCAAGAACTCACTCACCATGCCGTTCATGAGGGACCCAGAACCAAACACTTCCCATTAGGTTCCACCTCCCAACACTACACCACACGGGGATCAAATTTCAACATGAGTTTTGGTTTCAACAAACCAACCATACCCAAAACACTGCAAATTCTGTAGAGCTATTCACATTATCTATTTCAGACTGAATGGTGATCTTCTGTGTTTTTTGAAGAATGGATCTATCTCATCTAACTTGTAAATTTATGCGTGGAACTGTCCATACTATTCTTACTATCCTTTTGATGTATGCAGTGTTTATAGTGACATTCCTAATTCTGATACCATTTCTGACAACAGTCATTTATTTCTTTTCAGTCTTTCAATGTATTGATCTTTTCAAAGAACCAGCCTGTTTCATTGATTTTCACTATTTTTACTTTTTTCAATTTTATTGATTTCCACTCTTACTTCCTTTCTTTTGCTTGTTTTGGGTTTACTTCTTTTTTTTTCTATTTTTGGAGAAAATAAAAAGCAAGTAGTTTTATTTTCTGTAAAAACTATTTCAGTAATTACAGAGCAATCAATCTATACTTTAGCTTTTACATAAAAAAGTATTGTCTTTGCCTAGAGATAAACAACTTAGTAGTCAAAAAAGAAAAAGAAGTTAAGATTAACTGGTTAAAAATAAAATAAGACAATTCAAAAGGTAATGAAAAGATACCATGTGCTAAATGAAGAAAACTTGTCATTGCTGTGTGATGACATTAGCTGTAATATTTTCTAATTAACTACTTACCATTGCTCACCAAGCATCAACTTGGGTTTTTTATGTAGTTTCCATTCAATGAAAAATGGGCTCATCAACCAACTCCCTACTTTATCCTCTTTGGGACTAATAAACTGGCATTCTGATTTACAGATAAACTCCTGTGTATTGAATGTGAGCCTCTCCTCTTCAGATGAGTCACTTCTCAACATGCTGGGTAAGTATTAAGTTTTTAACTTTGCAAAGTAGAGCATTAAACTCAATTTACCACAACAAAGTCCAACCACTTTTGTAAAACTCCGCTGAGTGTTTAGCTGGCTTCCTTAGGTGACTTTTATGCTACTCATCTCTTCAAAATGTTATCATAGGCTGTAAAAACTTAGGTACATACGCTTAGTGTTATTCTAAGGCCAATAATGCTAATGTAACTTTAATACAGAAAGGGAAGCGTGAAATACTTTACTATTCTTAACATTTATAAAGAATTAACACTGAAATCACCTAACAAATAACAAACATACAAACAACTCACTGTCAAAATATTTTTAAAACAAATAATTTTAAATACTTTTAACTCATAATGTGGAACTTTTAATTTTTGAGGGAATGTGTGTTGATAAATTAGGTATTTAAGATTTCAGTTACTTTTTTTTTTTGAGATAGAGTCTCATTCTGCAACACGGGGTAGAGTGCTGTGGTGTCATAGCTCACTGCAACCTCAAACTCTTGGGATAAAGCAATCCTTTTGCCTCAGCCTCCCAAGCATCTGGGACTACAGTTACCTGCCACAACACCTGGCTAGCTTTTCTAGTTTTAGTGGAGGCAGGGTCTCACTCTTGATCAAGCTGGTCTTGAACTCCAAGAGCTCATGCAATCCACATACCTCAGCCTCCCAAACTGCTAAGATTAGAGGTGTGAGCCACTATGCCTGGTCTCAGTTACTTTCTTTACCAATTCTGTGACTACATATATGAAAAGCATTTTGAATTTATGAATACTTAAAATTCACTGTAGAAACTAGGCTTCAGCAATAAAACAAATTAAACAAATATTTATTCTATTTATTGAAAAATTCATTCTATTTATTGAAAATATTTATTCTATATATTTGAAAATTTCATCAGAATTTCCCATCTTTCTGTACTATTGAATTAGAAATTAACTTAAGTGATGTCATTTGCATTAAAAATTTTTAACAATGAAAACTTCATTTTTATTTAATAAAGATGTGTATTTGGAGGACAAAAATAATGGCACTACTTTCTGTACATATTCTGCAAGTAGTCAATTGATAGAAATAACGATTTATTTAGATAATAGTTTTGATTCTTGGAATTTCAATATGGCACTTTTACTTTATGGAAATGAACTGAGAAGGCTCTCACTGTCACAGTGGCATTTCACCTTTGCCAGCCCCACATTGGCAGCTACTTTTATTGAAATGTATTAATCATTAATTCCCAAATACATTTTCCTTGGTGACTTCCTATGAGAAATAAAACTATTTCAGAAACAATTTAAACAGTATTGTTCTTTCTATTGTCTATCTTTTTGGAACATTTTAAAAATGAGCATCTGCCTCTTGTTATTCTAAGACCCCCATACTTTAATATGAACACTGGTATTATGAATGCCTAATTCACAAGAAGGAACAGTCGCAGATTTAATCATTTCACTGTGAATTAGACATTAAGCACCAATCAATTATATTTAACAAAGCATGAAATTATAAAATCAAATTCTTTGGCATTCATTTACTGGCAAAGAAAAACAAAATAAGATTGAAAAAGAAAAAAAATTAAAAATGAGTAGTAGGGAAGAGGAAAGAAACTCATTTAAAAAAATCACATTAGTTAGAACTATATATTAAAAAAAATGCAACTGGTACTTTGTGAGGCTGAGGCAGAAGAAGGACTACTTGAGTCCTAGAGTTCAAGACTAACCTAGGCAACATAGTAAGATCATGTCTCTAAAAACATAAAAAATAAAAATTGCTGGCCAATTGTACTAGAAATGCAGAAATACTAGAGAGATAGCTTATTTAATATCCACACTGTGGAAAGTCTCTTCTACCTTAAAAACTCACAAAAACTATATTCACTCTTACTTCACTTAGAACTAGACCACAATATGCTAGACGCTCATGCATCACCATCACCCTATTTGTTTGTGGTAAACTAGAAAGCACGCATGGGTACCTAGAAAGTTACTTAGGACTACGCCAAAAGTGGAATGCTGCTCTTGTGAAACCAAAAACTGCATTTGTTTGGCTCTAGTTGTAACAAGTTATTATACTGAAGTTTTCAAGGATTTTGCAGACTCTTGCTTGTACTAATCTCTAAATGTACCAGTCCAAAAGCAGAATTTAATATTCTGAAACACTGTAAGTGAATCCTAAAAAGAACTTAGTAAAATTGCTTTAAAAGGTTTACTTTACTTTTAAAAGCATCTGTTGCTCCAGGTGCATGGTTTTTGTCTGGATGAAACTTCAAAGCAAGCTTTCTATAAGCTTTTTTCAAATCTTCATCACCAGCATCTTTCGTAACTCCAAGTACTTCATAGTAATTTTTACATTTGTTTATGCTGTGAACAAGAGAGTGTATTATAATGTAAATTTCAAGGAAGAAGGTCATGTGATATGTCTAGTTTTTAATTTATTAGAATAGTACAAAGAACTATCCCTGGATTGTTTTCTCAAAATCTAATGATGGCTTATCCCTTTAAGAGTCAGTTTACTTCATTCTGTTTTTTGACCATAGATCATTCCCCCAATCTCTTCCTAAGTCTTAAGAAGAGTAAGCCATGACAATGTTCTTAGTATAATTTATCACAACTATAGAGAAGTAAAGTAAGCCATAATAGTTGTGGATGAAGGACAGAGTATGTATACTATAACTAAAATGAGAAGGTAAGAATAATTTTTAGTATTCTTGCATGGATAAAAAAAGTCCAAAACTCAAAAGTATACCATGGTTAAAAATGACTTTGCAGTACATTCCAAAACTTTTATTCTTGCATAATGTAGATCTAACCAAGTATCAAAGCAACAGTTTAGTGTAAGTAAAACAACTGCAGAGTCCTACAGTTTAAATTTCAAAATAAGTCTGATGATGGTAAGAATGTATCTGTGTTACTCTCTGAAAAAGACAAACTCTTGTAATAGAATATGACATGGGACTCGCTAATTCTTGTTACACCCAATTTTCACTGTGATAATTATACTCCATACCATTACTTATATATAGTTTGTATCTTAACGATGAAATAGATTTAAACCCAAAGTTCTTAAAATATATTAGGAATGGAAAATAAATACTCTGAATGGAGCAGAGAACATCAAGTACTTTTGGATGCCAGCATTTTCCCACAACCTATAACTGCTTTCACAAAAGCCATGGTATATTTTAAACATGTTTTATAGAGTATTCTGCAATTTTAGATGTGTTCCATGGGCAGGTGGCTTGATGACAGAGGTAGTAACAGGTAAAATAATCTAAGGTGTAATTGATCATTGGGAGCAAAAGAAAAGACTGACCGAAAGAAAACAGGTTGATTTTTTTTAATCACAGCTTGAACTTTAGTCATCATACTGATTGGCACATGACAGGTTCTTAGTAAACATTTTTTGATTAAATGAGCCCTAGCTTTCTATATGTAATGAATATGAACTGGGGGAGGAAAATACAAGGTAATATAAAATCGTAGAAGTTTATAGAAATTTTCATATAATTATATCAATAATAATCTGTTATAGAGTAATAATAACTAAAATTGGATCTTTCAACTTTGGATACTTAAAAAGAATTAACCAAAAATCAGTTTTATTTCAAAGACATGACATTATCCTTTATTTACTCAGTAATCTGTATCGACTACCACTATGCCTCAGACATTGTTCCAGGTACTTGAGATAAATCAGCAAACAAAACCATGAACAACCTTTATAGAGATTCATTCTCCTAGGTATGTTTAGAACCTATGTGATAGGAAAAAAGAGAAGAGGGGCATTTATTAAAATACCTACTGTGTGTTAGCTACAGGTCAACAATCCCGTATCCACATTCCCATGTTCACAAAGCTCTGAAAAATCAAAGTTATTCTATAACTAATCTGACTGCAAAACACTTGACTTGAACTGTTTTAAAGGTAAAATATGACCTGAAAAGATGTGAAACTACTATTGGGTCCTCATTTTTCCCATGTAAGTGTAAATATTTATATGTTTTACTTATGTTATAATTTGATTGTGAACTGTAGCTCCACTGACAAAGATGTATGTAATATACAACACAGTCATCCCTTGATATTCACATGAATTGGCTCCACCACCTCCTTTATGTACCAACATCCACAGATGCACAAGTTCCTAATATAAAATGATATAGCATTTGCATATAACCTGCATCTATCTTCCCACATACTTAAAATCTCTGGATTATTAGTAACACCTAATACAATGTAAATGTTATGTAATTAGTTGTTACTTTATTTTTTATTTGTAATATTTTTTGTTATTTTTTTTCCTCAAATATTTTCTTTTTTTGGCCGGGGCTGGGTTTGAACCCACCACCTCCAGCATATGGGGCCGGTGCCCTACTCCTTTGAGCCACAGGCCTACCCCTCTACCTTCTCCCCGTTGGAACCCATGGATGCAAAACCTGTGGACATGAAGGGCCAACTGTATTCTCTTACTTTTTTTTTTTTTTTTTATTCAGACAGTCTTTCTTTGTCACCCTCAGTAGAGTGCCATGGTGTCATAGTGCATAGCAACCTCAAACTCTTGGGCTCGAGTGATTCTCTGGAGTCCTTAGCCTCGAAAGTAGCTGGGACTACAGGCACCCACCACAACACCCAACTGTTTTTTGTTTTTGTTTGTTTGTTTACCAACCCCAGGCCAGGTTTGAACTCACCAGCCCCGAAGCATGTGGCCGACACTCTACCGACAGAGCTACGGGCGCCCAACCCTCTTACTTTATTAAAATATGAAGAATTGTGAATTCTAAACTATCTTTGGTCCCAAAAATTTCACATAAAGAACTGTAGAATTTTATTATGATTGTGTTATACAAATTATGTCATTCACTCCTCATTAGGGAGGATATTATTCTTATTTAAACAGTGAGGAAACTGTCTAAAATTACATAACCAGGAAATAGGTGGGAATAAGGCTTAATTTCCTCAACAAAAATTTATTAAGCAACTGCTTTCTGCTAGACACAATTTCAGATGTGCCACTGGTGAATAAAACAGTCAAGAAAATCCCTAATCATATTAAATTTACAATTGGAAGAAGAATAAACAGTAAATATATAAGCAATATATAAAGACATCAAATGGTGATTAACTAGAGAAAAATGAAGTACAAAAGAGAAAAAGAGAATGGAAGGATAGAGCTGCCACTTTAAATAGAAGCATAAGAGAAGGCATCAAAAGTAAGGATTCAAAACCTCTGTTGGTCTCACTTGCAAATCTTGCTGTCTCAGAACCAGAATAACGAAGAAAAGGAGCCTTTTCCCACTCCAAAGTGACCATTGTCTTCCTTTCTTCTTCGTTCTTACAATCTCTATTTAAGCAGACCCTCTTCCCTCCTAAATATTTACATATGTTTTTGGTGCTCAGAACTCTCCTCTGACTCCCTCTCTTCTCACTGAGCTAGTTTCTACAACTTTGTCAGACCTCAGCTTTGCTCTTCTTTTTCTCAAGAATACCTCAGGACTAGGTTTGGGGCCCCTCTTAAATGGTTCTAAAGCCCTCTGAACTTAGCTTTATCCCAGTAATTACTATAATGTAAGGCAGTTGCCTGATTATTTGTCTGACTCCTCTTCTAGACTACAGGGTCTTAGAAGGCAGGGATTATGTCTTGTTCACCATATGTGTTGGATGGATGGATGGATTACTGTTTCAGTTTGACATCAGAAATAGTGGGGATCTGAAAAGTCATGTTCAGGTCAAAGATGATGAGTGCTGTAATGAAAATATAGTTGGTACCAAAAATCAGTTTGAAATTGAAGAGAAACAATTAATAGAAGTGAAACAGACTGTGAGATAAGGAATAGAGCTAAGAAAGTGGCAGATAGTACCTGAAAGCAGAAAAGGTAGTGATAAATACTGAACAATTCTAAAACCATTACTATTTGATGTGAATACATAAGATGTTTAATTGTGTTGCAGATTAACCCTGTAAAATTGTTCTGTTGATATTTCTTGAGCACAAAACGCTGGGCAATAGAAAACTGCAACCCAGGAAAGGGTTGCTCAGTAGTGTAGGGAAAGTAGGCTGGAATTTGTAGTGCTCTAGATATGGATGACTAAGCTATGAAAAAGTCTAGATAGGAAAAACAATTATTTCACTATTTTTTAGCAGTATCTGACTCTACTGTATCTTCAGTGCCCTAAATTTTTCATGATTTCTCCTCTAGGAGAAATTCCTGAGAAGCCAGGTTATAAAGTCACCATCACTAATGGATAGACTAAAGACTATTTCTTTTTTTTTTTTTTTTTTGACTATTTCAAGTAATGCTCCAAATATAGTCTTTCACCTAATTTTTCATACAAGTGAAAAACTATTCATGTATCTTTCATTCATATTGTTGTTCATCATGTTCCTTTTTAAAAGCTATATGTCTTTTCACAGTAAGCTGCTTTCTGAAAGATTTAAACCTTCTTGAGCCTCATCAAAGAATTAAAAAAGAAAAAAGTTAAAAAAAGTATAACTCATCATCTATGTCAGAAGGAAATAACGTACAATAAGGTCCAAGGTGTCTGGAGCTCAACGGTGGGAAAAATACGCCTTTCTGGCTTCTTTTATGTGCATTAAAGCACAGTGGGCAGGAGAGGAGGTCAGATCACCTTCCAATTCTCCTTTTCTTCATGTGCCATAGCTAATTATTTAGTGTAGATTCAAAATTTCATTAGTGTTTAAAAATATATTTATTTCTGAAATAAAGGGTTATTTATTTGATGTTTAGCACAATGATTTTTCTTCTTCTTAAAGAACTAGAACTTAAATCAAACCTTAAATTCAACTCACCGTAATTCAAATGACTTAGAGTTGTACAGAGTTGAAATATGACAACTATTTCTCAATTATTTTTTAAATATGAGTCTTCTTTGAAGAAGTTTTTATTATATTATTGAAAAAAGACCATTTCGTATTTTAAAAACTCATAAAATCAGTATGAAATCATTAACTAGGAGGGATATCATATTTCAACTCAAAGACAAAAAACAGTGCCAAGTGTTAACAGGATATTAGTTTATAAAGTTACACACTTGTTCCTCAGTCTTACTGTAAGCCAGTGCTTACTTATGCAATGCATGCAGTATTATTGCAAGGCTTCTCCCTATTGAGCCAAATTGTCACTGAGCAACTTGTTTGCATAATCATGCTAAACAACAAGGTATCATGGCTTTCTTCAGAAAAATCTCCTGTGTATAGGTACAAGAAAAAACAAAACTATACATCATGTAAGTGTGTGCTGATGATCTATTCCCTCACTAACACCTATGAAGGTTAATATAATGAACAAGTGTTACATGATTTCAGCTAACTCTTACATAGAGTACTAACTGAAGTATTTTAAATAACTTAGGAATTCTCTTAAACAAATTTCCAATAAGATTTAGTCCCCAAAAGAAAAAAAATTACATTTATTAGAAAAGGTATAATAAAATTATTCAACAGAGATTCAGTTTTTAATACAAGTATGCTACTAAGCTAATTCTTCTACCTATAAAGAATTCATGTTCTCAAATGTGGCTGAACTCTCAGTGGTAAGTCAACAATTCTTCTTTTGCCTTTGCTTTCCACCTTTACAAATATTCCTTACAGGTTGGGTGTCAGTAGTTCAGCAGTTAGAGCACCAGAAAACAATAACAACAACAACAAATACTCCATACTTTTATGACATTCCTCAAGCTCTGAACCTCATCTCTTTTCTTCTAACTCTCATCTCCAATTTTATTAAGAAAATAGAAGCCAACAGAAAAAATACTTCCTCAACAATTCATGTTTCCATCTGTCCAACTCTGGTCATATACAAAGTGCATTTACACTCACCATCATCTTTCACTCTTCCATTCTCAAGATATTCCCTGCCTAAAGACAGGAAAGTCTTTTTTTTAATCTTTTAATTTAATTTTTAATATTTAATAATTTTATGGTAAACAGAAAAATTTTCTTTTAGATACTCAACTTGAGCATAAAGAAAGTAAACATATCGATTTCCTAAATCAAAGGGAAATGTCTTAGGAAACATCCAGGGTGGATGATTGGAAATGTTGGGAGAATATACAGTCTACCTCGATAGCTCAGGATCTACTTCCAAACTACACAACATGAATAAACTTCATTACAGTTTAAATCTCATTACTTTAATAAAATGAGAATAAACTTTAGGCCCTAAAACCATTTTTTGGGAAATTTCTTCTCCAAACACCAAATTATTTTGTTTTATAGACTTTCAACTTTGCAAAATACTTGAGCTAGCAACGTGTAAATTTTGAAGCTTAAAAGACCTTTTCTGAAAAAAAAAAAAAAACTGGTGTAAAAGTATAGGAGTTCCTATATATGAATATAGATAAATTGTGTTTGCATACTTGTGTGCAGTTTCTTTGTAAATACTCCAGTAAAAAGTAAAAAAACAAACAAACACACATATATTTTGGGAGAATTACATTCAATACCAATGGGGGGGTGGTCAGAGACTGTAATGGAAAGCCCATAAAATCAACACCAGAACAAAAAGATTTATCATCATATGTTCTTCCTTATTTCTACTACACCTTGAACTAGTTGCCTTTTTCTTTTCAGCCTTGGGTAAAGGAAATGAAGAAATAAAGATTGTTTAAAAGAATACCAGATTCAGAAGATTCATATTTTCCAAAACTTTAAACTCTAATTTTTCAGTGAACTTTCAGATATATAGATCATTCTATATTCTTTAAAAAAACACACAAAATTAATAAACAATACAATACAATTTACTTTACTGTGAGTGTTTCATTTAGACTATGTTCTCCCAACATAAAGTAATTCATTCAACAAAATATAATGTTTTTAGAATGTGGTCTCCATGAATGTGTTTGCATACTCCGAGTTTTTCCTGAAAAAAATTCAAAAATAAGTCTTTCTTATTCACTTACCTCACCTATTCAACTGTCTCTGATGCAGTACTACCATTATAAAAGTGAATAGCAGCATTATTCATATTCTCAAAGTGCTTTACTACCTCTTATGCTAATCAGATACCCTATTATGGCTTTACCACAACTGGAGAATCATTTTTCCTCATTGTGATCACACTAGAATAAAATGTTAAAATCAAGCGTTTGCTTCAAATATATAGGGGAAAAAACAAAATTTATTGATAATACACAAAATACTTCCCTGAAATAAAACCTGTAGCTCAAAATATACTTAAATTATGCTAAGTAAAAAAGAGAATGGAGCAAAATGGATGAAAAAAATACTGTTAAAAGCGAAACAGGCCAGGTACAGTGGCTTATGCCTTTAATCCTAGCACTCTGGCAGGCCAAGGAGGGAAGATTGCTGTAGGTCAGAAGTTTAAAACCTGCCTGGGCAAGAGTGAGATCTTGTCTCTACTATATAAAAATAGGAAAACTTGGTGAGGCATGGTGGGACATGCTTCTAGTTTTAGCTACTCAGAAGGCTGAGATAGGAGGATCCCTTGAGCCTCAAAATTGAAGGTTGCAGTGAGCTATGATGATGCCACTGTATTCTAGCACTCAAACAACTCCCCAAACAAACAACAAAACATAAAAGAGAAACAAAAGGCCAACAGAGAGAGATTGTAACTAGTTTTAATTACTCTTGAGTTAGTTCACTATTCTAGACAATTCACTCTCCATGAGAATTATCTAATTAATCACTATTCAATGTATCCTTAAACTTTAGTTTTCCTAGCAGAGAAACACTAGTGCAACATCAATACAGCTTCCTGAAGCTTTAGCAGAAAACAAAATAGTCTTTTCTGTAGTGTTTCATACTCAAACTTTCATTTTATTTCCAAAAAGCCCATTTTTACTTATAAAGCCAGATACCCAAAACTCAGTTCATAAAGTTTCAACTCTAATTCTTGTGCTTTAAGTAGAACTATATCATGAAACTAAAACATAGATACACAACAATCAGAGTAAGAAAAACATTAAAAGGAGAAAACATTATGTTATCTGCATACATATGAAGGTAGCCTTCATATGTAATATTTTAATTTTTAAAATATTAATATAAATAGGAAAGTGAAAATGCTGTTGCTATTACAGTTAATGTTCCTCTCCTATAAAATTTTTCCATTTTATCTATATAAAATTATTCATCCTCTTTCAATATTACTATGTAAAAATGTATTGTATAAAAACCTGAAAAAACTTTTCTTTAAAAAAATTATTTGGAAGATGCTTTGTAACTTATTTTAAAAAAGAGAATTATCAATAAAGTTGGTACTTTACAAAACGATTTTATAAAGAATGTAAAGCACAGTCATAGCCAGAGTTCAATTCCTTAAATGTCTATTCTTCTAATAAATTAAATTTTAAACACATTTGTTAGGTGTTATAACACTAAAAAGTTATATTAGAATTAATTATGACTGAGATATAAATCATACCTGAGAACTCCATCTACTTGGTCTTTGGTATAGCCTTTTCCACCCTCACCACTACCAGATGTGCTGTCCTTTGTGCAATTAGGCTTGCTTTGATCACCACCTCCTGATGGTTTTCGGCAATGAGCGCTATTTCCAGCTGTGCTTCCATTTTTCATGATTATTTCCAATAATGCTGTAGATAGATAAAGTATAGTGTACCTGTTTATATTAAGGTAATACTTACTACATCTTAAGAAGTTACAAAGGAGACAAATTATGAACTGTGTTCTTCAAAAAGATTTGCCACAGGATCTTTTTATTAATAGACAGCAAACATTCATGTACTTAACTGTTTACAGAACACTAATCACCATTAAGAAGCAGACTGTTAAGAAATATAAAGCTAATACCTTGAAATTATTATCATTCAGTTATTTATGATATACTTTCATTTATCGTACCATGTTAAACCATAGATTACAACTAAAAAGGGAGTCTTTAATGAAGCCAATGAGATCATCCACCAATAAAAGAGAGAATGGACTTCCTGTTTGTTTTTCCAAAGCAACAATGGAAGCCAGAAGACCCTAGAAGATTATCTTCAAAATACTCTGAAAAATATGTGTTAATTTGAGTTCTGCACTAATTTTCCTGAAAGTGTACAAGATAAAAATATTTTCAAACAAATAAAACTGAGAAAATTTATCACTGAGAGATTTTCACTAGAAGATATGGTAATACACATATATATATAATTATGTTATAATTTAAAAATTAATTATATCTGGAATAATAAATTATAAATTTGTAATTATGTAAATAATTATGTCTAGAATTTTCTTTAAAATAATCAGGGGAGGAAAGGCATAAAACTGGGGATAGAATGTATGAAATAAGGTTGGCCATATGTTCATAATATCTGGTTAAAGAGGGGTGGGTGATAGGGATTGATTATAATATTTTCTTTCCTTTAACATATGCTGGAACTTTCCATAATAAAAATTAAAACTAAACATAAAACAATTAACAGAACTAAAAGGAAAAAACAAAGAAATCTACCATCATGGTGAATTTTAATACATGTTAATCAGTAATTGGCAATGTCATTAAGGATACTGATGAGTTAAACATATAATTTATCAAGCTTTACCTAAGAGTTATAACATTACCCCCAAGTGGTCAATATTCATTTATTATAAGCCCACATTATAGTTAGTCCATAAAGTCATCTTCTAATCTCAAAGAACTAGCCTCCTATGTACCACAGTCTATGATTAAAAATCTAATCTTAAAGAACTAGCCTCCTATGTACCACAATCTATGAGTTAAATGTGAAAACAGAAAAAAAATAACTGAAAAAACTCACAAGTGGATTGGAAAGGCAAAAAACAAGCAAAAAATTTAAACAACTCATATATCAAATAATCCTACCATAAATTACAAATACTTAAAATTAAATAAAAATAAAAATCCTACATAACAGAACACATGGGTCAACAACTAGATATCCACATGCAAAAGAATAACTTTGGACCCCTCCATCACACCATGTAAAAATTAACTCAATGTTGACCATTCACCTAAATGAAGAGCTAAAGCTTCAAAGCTCTTATAGGATTAGGTCAGGCATGGTGGCTCATGTCTATAATCCCAGCACTTTGGGAAGCTCAAGTAGAAGGATTACTTGAGACCAGGAGTTTGACAACAGCCTGAGCAACACAGTTATACCCTGTCTCTACAACAAATTTAAAAATCTGCCAGACATAATGGTGTGCCCCTATAGTCCCAGCTGTTCAGGAGGCTCAGGTGGGAAAATAGCCCAGGAACTGGAGGTTGCAGTGAGCAATGATCACACAACTACACTCCATCCTGGGCCACGAAGTGCCTATCTCTTAAAAAAAAAATAGGAGTAAATCTCATTACCCTGGTTTAAGCAATACATTCTTAAATTTAACAATAAAAGTACATGTGACAAAAGGAAAACAGAAAACAGACTTTATTAAAACTTAAAACTTTTGTACTTTAAAGGCAGTCATCAAGAGGGTGAAAAAAAAACAATCTATAGAACAGGAAAAAATATTTGCAAGTCATATATCTTACACAAAAAAGTATTCAGAATGTAATAGAATTCTTATAATTCAATAATAAAAAGACAAAAAGCTCAAGTTAAAAAATGAGCAAAAGGTCTGAATAGACATTTCTCCAAAACATATAAACAAACAAATGACCAATAAGTACCAAAAAAGTTGCTCAACATCATTAGCCATTAAGGAAATGAAAATCAAAACTGAAAAGAGATAGTACTGCACACCCACTGGGATGGCTATTATCAAAAAGATGGATAATAGCCAAATGCTGACCAGGATGGGGAGAAACTGGATCCCTAGTACACTGCTACTGAGAATATAAAATGGCACAGCTACTTTGAAAAATCACTTGGTGGTTCTTTAGAAAAGTAAATATTAACTATCATTCAACTCAACCATCCCATTCCTAGGTATATATCCAAAAGAAATGCAAACATGTATCTATATAAAAACTGGTTCAAAAATGTTCACCATAATATTATTCATACAGACAAAAAAGTACAAACAACCAAATGTCTATCAACTGATGAATGCATAAAGTGTGATATATCCAGACAATGGGATATATTACTCAAAAACAAAAAGAAACCAAGTACTGATACATGCATGCCACAACATGGATGAACCCTGAAAACATTATACTAAGTGAAAGCAGCCAGTCACGAAAGACTACAGACTGTATGATTCTACTTATATGAAATGTACAGAATTAGCAAATCTTACAAAGACAAAAAGTAGATAAGTCATTTCCAAGGCCAGGGAGAAGGGGGAGAGTGGAACTGAGGAAAAATGAGGAGAGACTACTAATGACCATGGGGTTTGTTTTGACACCAGGAAATGTTCAAAAATTGACTGTTGTAATGGCTGCACAACTTTATGAATATACTAAAATTCCACTGTAATGGTATACTTTAAATGAGTGAATTATATCCTAATAAAGCTGTTAAATATATTTTAAAAGTTACAGCAGTGCTATGGCAAATTTGCAGACATACAGATATTTACTCACTTATATTTT